AGACAACGTATGATACAAGCAAGCAATCTGCTGGTCTGTAGATTTCTGCAGTTTGTGATCAGCCAGCCATAATTTCTCTCAACAGCTGATGGTGGCCAACGTGTGATTCACGACCTAGCTAACCTTATTTTTAGCTGTTGAGCTCTATGGCTGCAAAAGAGTTTGTGTTGCACAACATTGGTTCAGGGAGCAGGAACAAGATAAACTTGGTATCTGTTTAAAAGAATCAGCTTACTGAAAAAAATTGTGACATATGTTAACTGGAGATCCAGTCTCACTTCCTATTAGGTAGGCTAAAAATACTATGATAGCCTTTAATCTAGGTTTCTTATAAGAAACTCTAAGGGCTAATGTGATTATTAATAAATATTTCAAGTCTGTGCTACCTACCTGAGCACCTCTGTCAGGGCATATTATGCAACTACTGCAACCAAAATGTGGGCAGATTTTGGAATAGAAACCTTGGACAGAATGGGAACAGGAATCTCTGCGTCTTGAGTGGCTGGCTGACATCCCTGGAGGACCTCTCCAGGGGGTATGTATGGGCTCAAAGAAGTCAGACACCACATACAAATAATAAGGGGAAGAAAACTGCTCAGAGCTGGTCTTGCCCAATCCCCCCACTTCCTCCTTCACTTTGGTTTTCACAATTAGATGCAGCCATAAAGCTAGTGAGTGACTTCTAGGTGCAAAGGCTGACAGGCTGGCTTCGTGGAAATCAGTGACAAAGCTCACACTGACTTCAGAAGAACCTGAACTTCATCTGCAGAGTCAAAGGCAGATCACAGATCATTAATATTTTACTGCTTTTGCAAGAGTATGAGGTGAGCAGAACTGTAATCTTGATACTGTTTGACACAGGACTATTTTGGAGCTACTCAACTACTCCATTCAGTTCAATTCATAGGATGGCTATGAGTCAGCTGAAAGCATTGCTTCCTAGTTCCCTCTAATAATATGAGCATTTGGGTCTCATTTTCAAAGTAGGCCACATATAGCCAGGAAGAGTCAGCGAAGGATGCTGCTAAAGGGACATCTCAGTGCTTACTGAAGCCTCAACAACTGAAATGCAGTTTCAAAACAACCTTTATTCTGCTTGAAGACTTATTACAATTTTTAAAGCAACTTAAGAACAAGACACAGCTCCATCAACTCTATAGCTTAAACAAAACTTCAAGGAGGCATGTTTTCACTGTTGCCTAGTACAGACAATTTACAACCCACTTTACCCTCCACCTCCTCAAAGACCATTTTAAAACAAAGTAATCTTAACTTTTTAAAGACATTTAACAGAACAGAGCTTTACTTAAAAAAAAAAAAAAAAAAAAAAAAAAAATAGCAGCATCTTGGGCAGCTAATGCAGTCTCATTAGGACAAGTGCAATATAATGTTACCAACTCCCACAGTCCAGTTTAGTCTTCAACTGCAGCAGACACAACATGATTCTACAAAAGATGTTGCATTTTGGAACCTTGTCCCATGGGAGGCATTGTGCTTTGAGCTGCCCATTTCTAAAGTGACCCTGAAAAAAACCAGTATCAGGATTCACTTTCCCAACTTAATACCATGCATAGCAAAAGCACTGTGTGAAAATCAGCAGAAGTTTTCCCCATTAGAAGCATTTGAATGTTTTCTCAAGCATTATTATTTCATTGCCAATTACAAGACAAAGCCATTTCTTTACTACAGAACAGCTGACACCAAATAGAGAATTTGAAGATTTGGTTTTACAGATTGCTTGACAAGATCTCTTAGATAACTGAACCATACAGACAAGCTTTTTTTTTTTTTTAAAGAAAATATCCAACAACACAGAAACTCAATTTTCTAACTGTATTTGGAAACATGCTGCACCCACAAAAGTCTAGTGTGCATGTGTGTGTCTTCAAACAAAGTTAACAATATAATTTACTGAATTCAGCAAAATGATCACATTTAGTGAAAATGGACCTATACTGGGATCTATTCATACATAAACACAGCAAGTGTGCATGCATATGCACAGATACACATACTCAAACCTGCACATTCAAATTTCAACTTAAGGAAATCAGAAACTCCTAATTTTGCTTGTGGGTTTTGGTTTCCTGTGTCATGTCTCATACCTTTCAAAGGCCTTGTGAAAGTGCTGCTGCAGTGCAGCCTAACTTGGAGATTTAAAATAAAACAAAAAATTCCCCAAACCAAAAAAACCTAAAAAACCAAAATCCCACCCTTGAATCATGTTAGATAGAAAAAAAGTGCATGTCAACAGAAATACAGAAAAGCACTGTGTTTCTTCAGTTATATCCACATGCCTTTTTTCTATATATTTTAGTCTGAGACCAAATCAAAACTGGAGTGAACAATATGGCACAGTTAAGGACTAACAACTCTGCAGTGAATAGGGCCTTTGGCAGGACGTAGCTCTGCACATTGAGGAGGGAGGGAAATGCAGAGGCCACACAATATGTAAGTACCAGAGAAAACCTACTCATGCCAATTTGAGGGCATAAGTGATCCTTGCTAATTGCACAGCCCCTGTGTAGGCAGAACTTCTCCTTAGGAAGCCCTAAGCACTCATCCTCACAACATAGTGCTTATTTCTCATTGTTATTTGTGCAAGAAAAGCAAGTGCCAAATTTGCACACACACTATTTATTTTTTTTTTCTCTGCTACAACCACAGATGAAAAGAAGTTGTACAGCACAACAGGAACAAATGGTATCCCATACTGGGCTGGGCATGCTAACGATATAGCCTACTGACATAGCAGAGGAAAATTAGAGGAATATGAGGAAAATTAGATCCAAATGCCTTAACTATGATAAAATTTCTTGACAAATGCTATGTGAAACATGAATTGAGATTACATATATTTTGCTTACAGAGAAAAAAATACAATTTACTCTTAAAATATTTAATATCCAAAAATTAATATAGGTCCAAAGAATATCTTGGATTGCTACAAGTGTTGAATTGTTATATATTGAATTAATTTGTAACTTCAAGCCCAGTAGTATAACTGGCATGCTAGAGTAACTGTTCGTGCTTTCCATTGAAAAAAAACAGTTATTAGTAAACCAAATTGACATGATCCTACAGGCTTGAAAAGAGTGTGGAATGAGGAAGGGATAAAGACTAAACTTCTATTGAGAAAAAATATTCAGAATTATTTTGTAAGTGGTGACTATCCCCAAACATTTGTGTTGGTTGAATCTTGTTTCCTGATATAAATTCTATTAAGAAAATACATCTATAGGAAAGCAAAGACAACCCACCAAAAAAAAGAACACAAAATCAAAATGAAATCAAAAGCCTTACAGCCTCAGAAATGAAGGAATAATGTAAAAATTAAAAGATAATACAAAAAACACTGGAGACTGGCAAATTTCTTCTTATTATTTCCAATAGCTTAATAAGCACTGCATAATTTGAATTAAAACACATGTATTTCTAAACCAGAGCTATTATGACAGAACTCCATAGGTCTTAGTCTTTTGATTGTGTGTGCAACTCCCTTTAATAGTAATGGGTCTTGTCTTTGCATCTTGGGGGAAGAATAAATTCATACGTTCACTAAGTCAAAAACTTTTCCAAGATTTCTCTGAACTTTCATTATCAGTTTGCAAATGTGAATTTCCTCTGTGCTCAGGACAACAAAAAACCATTGCAAACCACCCACAGTGAATTGTCCCAGAATTCCCAATAAGTTTGCTCTAGTGGAATTCATGTATTTGTTTCCTTTAACTAAACCATAATTCTGTAAGTCTCTGGTGCCTGAAATTATAGACGTGTTCACTTTGATACTGCCTCAGCCTACAAGCTTACGAAAATAAATCCAAAATGTTAACTATGATAATCTAACAATTTCCAAAACAGACATTTTCCAGTTTAATTAGCTCTATGTTGTATCCAAATGTTCTCAGTAAAGGTGGGAGCTTTTTTAAAAAAATACTAATAAAAAAACAAACCTAGGCAACAGATTAGAGAAACTTCCTTCATATGAAATGAAAATACCTTTACATGCTGATAAAAATTCTGCCACAGTAGATCAAGAAGTCACTTATTTACTATTAAGAGTGGATTCATTCTGAAATCCAGACTACCTATTCCAATAGTGAAATATCCCCATTTTTTTTAATGCAATCACTATCAGAGAAGGTAATACAACTTTTTGTCTTCCAAATACAAAGACAATCATGATAAAAGTTCAAAATGCTTGAAGAAGCAAACATAGCATGGTACCGTATTCTAAAGATATCTCTGAAATGATATTGTTGGACTCAGTGATATTTTGTAATGTTCATATATTTTTTTTTATTGAATAAAGCAGCTTTGAAGCTTATCAGGCACTGCCTAACAAAATATTCAGTTGAAAAAAAAATTATGAACTTTTAAAACTTTGAGCTAGTAGCTCAATATTCTATACAAAGAAAATTGTAAAATATTTCATAGTTTTAATTCTGCAGCCAACTCTTGATGGCTTCCTGTACATCTAAAAAAACCCCCCAAACCTAACTAACAACAAAAAGAATAACAAAAAATAATCATCAGGAAAAATATTCTCAGGCAAAAGAAAGAAAGAAAAAAGAAGACAAGGAAAAAAACAAGCTTAACCTATAGATATGCTTAAGAGAAGACTACAGCCTAAAGAAAATTCAGTATTGCATAGCACAGTCTAAGAAGTCATCTTTCAGCAAACAGAAAGGGCAAAGAGATGCAGTTTGGTACTGATAGTTTCCATCAATGATAGTTAGTCATCCAATACTATGTACATTATTATATACTGTATGCCATTGAAAGTCCTGTTTTCTTCAGTCTTAAATATATTCTTAAAACAGGATTTTTAAACATCTAAACAAACACTTCCTGGCACTTTGCTATTACAATTCCATTCCATGTATTACAAACATACTGTAACTGAAGTCCTTTAAAGTGTCCCTTAGAAATGAAAGTGCCATTCTGCTACATATCATTCACCAGAAACCAAAAAATGCACAATGCTGTGTGTCTGGATCCACTGAGTGCAGCAACACCAAATCCAAGCCAGGTCATGACCACAAAATTCCAGTAACCGAATGACAAAGACCTCTTACACCTTGTATCTGGAGAATCCAATGTTCTAGCTGGTAAAGCTTCAGAAGTGGTCGTAAACAAGCACCATGGTTAAAGGCCTCTATGTCCCTCCAGGGAGGTCAGGTTAGGATTTCTCTCTCTTGTGTTTTTCTTTTCTTAATTTTAAAATAAAAAGCACTTCAGATTAGAAACATACGTTCACAGTTTAATACTGTGATGTTTCCCACTGCAGTTGTGAAGGAAAGCTCTAGTCCCATCTGAAGACAGACGACTTTGCTACTGCAGCTCAAATTCTTGAGTAAGGCTGAAAGGAGCCTTCTCTCTCCAGAGGCCTCAACGTTGTCAAATCTTTTCCTTAGAAAAAAAGCTGAACAACCCAGAGTATTAAGATCTTCATCGCCTCTGCTGTGCATATACTGGGTAGGCTAGTGTGACATTGAGAGAGTCATTGTGCTGCACCAGTGATGTGTGTTGATAATGTAGCACCAGTTCTTTAAGTGAGTTGTACAGGTTATATGGCTCTGCAAATCCATACCCAGTAGGTGTTTTGTTTATCACACAGTGCTTTACTTCTCCATCCACTCTAAAGAGGAAAAAAAACAACCAGTTTTTAGTTTTTCAGCACAGTAAAGTTAAGCTAGAAAATAACCAATAAATCTTAAGATGCTAAACACTACATAGAATTTCTGTCTTCGGTGGTGGGATAGTGGTAAAAGCCTGTGTTGAACTCAAATTCCCAGACGTGTTAGGTTAGGGAGGCAGAAGACAGGCAGGACTTATCAGGAGTGCACCCATTCTTTGGTTTCTCTTCTGCTGGAGGCTCACCTGTGGGAGTGGCACAGGTTTGAGCTGTGCAGGAAATGGAGCAGCAATAAGGACCCCTCAGGTCTTGTTGGTAAAGACCCCCTCAGATCTTGTTGGTCTGCTTCTAACCCCAAAGGTTCAATGGAATCATATGCAAGTGTTTATTTGCCCCTGGCTCAAGGTAGGTGCCTCAAACATTGGTTACATTAATCACAAATTAGGGTACGTACACAACAGAGCAGGCGTAACAGCCTTGTTTGCTGCTCTCTCGAACAAGGAATGTTCCATCTCGCTTTCCCCGCAGCAGATTTTCAGCTTGGCTTCTGTTGATATTTCCCACATTCCATGTTCTCTCATCATGATGAGGCAAGTCCTCATCATCTTCTACCATAGAGTATTGGCTGTTGAAATAGGACAAAATGTGTGTGAAACACATAACAGAACAAAATCCATGAACTAAGTATCCCCATTTCATATTACTTGAAAAAAAATAAGTCAGTGGTTAGTAGGATGCCTCCCTGGCAAAACCAGGGATGTAAACCATGTAATACCGTACCGTTCAAACCACTGAATAAAAATAAAATATAAGTTCTGGTTCTTGTTTCTTTTAAAAACATGTAAATCTGAAGAAGGATATAAAAGGATACTGCATTATCTTTCAGAATTTGCTTCAAGAACTTCAGTACTTCTACTGTTGCTCACTGTTTTGGTAAATAGCAAGCCCAATGAAATCAATATGCTCTGAATCAGCTTCATTTTCAAAGATCAGAACACTCGATCAGCAGTGAAAAATCATGCAATGTATTAACTACAGCTACTGCTTGAGAAAGCTATGAGTCGTTGCACAGCTAGACAGATTAATTATTTATAGGGGAGGTGGCTTAGTGGAAAGTGTGAAAGAGCAGAGTGAGTGCTCTCTCTCTCATAACCAGATTATGAGAAAAGCACATGATACAGGGCCTTCTCTAACAAAACAGCTACCAGCTATAAAGCTGATTCAGAGAGATGTATTCTTTCATGGTGGGCTTGAGCTCAGAGGGTTCTTTGTAACTATGAATCAGCTTTATAGTTGGTAGCTGTTCAGCTGTATGGACACCACTTTGATATCCTGCAGTTCCAGAGCTCCCCACTCCCCCCAGCAGCCTCTACTGGTGGGCTCTGCCTCTTCTGCTCAGCTTGCAATCAGTCTGTGTTTGGCTAATGTACTTATTCTCTCTGTAACAGGATTTTAATCCATTTTCCTTGGTCTAAGAAAACATGGCTTCTTACTCATCCACAGTTCTGTCTTTTTGAAGACTCTCAAAGTAGTCTACAGAAATCAGCAATCTCACACAGAAATCAATTTTTCAAAAAGAACTTTTTTTTTTTTTTTTGTTTCAGATGACACTCTCTCTAGGTTCCTTCTCCCATCATACTACTTTGGCCTGTATGATATTAAAATGCATTCAGCAGTGCCTCTATTTTCAACTAGCACCTAGAGAAAGCAATTCCTGTTTTTCCTGATGCTTATTATATTGATTTTTTTTCCTCCATTAAATTTTTTTTAAGTTTAATTTCTCAGCAGAAACCTGAGCTCTTACCAGACTCACCGTCAAGGAAAGACAGAGTGAGAGAAAAGGAAGATATTCTTTAAACGATGTCACTTACTGTTTTGATGCTACATTAGAACTATGGCCTGCCATTGTTCTTTGTCTACCGTTTAAGTGATGGGAGTACTAGTGGAAACAGATGCCTACAGATTCTCCATCATATCATCTTTGAGCTGTGCTAAGACTGAATGAACAACATGGCTTTAAAACATGTATGCCATTTTTGTCCCGTGCTTATACCAGTCCAGCCACAGCAGAGATGCAGAATTTCCTGGATAACAGTAGAAGACTCAATAAACTAAGTCAAATTAAAATAGATGTGGACAAGGAAGATAAATCCAAAAAACAGTTGTTGTCAGTCTGCTTCTTTTGCTATATGTTCAGTCAGGCAGTGTAAAAGGCATGCACAGTAACTACATAGGCAGAAAATGTTGATACGAATGTTACTCAGACTACCTTGTTTTTCTATTTATTCATTTTTCACTGTTACTACACTTTTGATATTATTTTGTGGCTTGCTTCTGTTTAAATTTGGTCTACATTCACACCACCCAGGTGCTTTTTGCTTTTTTTCCCAGGAATGAAGTGAAACATATTCATTAGCCAATGAACTGAACCTACAGTAAATTGAATTGCTGAAATGACAGAACACTATGCTGCCATTTCCCAGAAAAATTAACCAGACCACAATATCAGAGAAGGACCTCTCTTCAGCATATAGAATTTTATCATTTCCAATAGCAATGTAATGTACTGATGTGAGTACCACTATACTAAATAGTGGTATGCAACTCTTGAAATTTTGAAAACGGCCTGCCCATGCCTGAGAGACCTTCTGAACAATTTATCCATCCATGTGGCATTTCTGTAAGATACTAACATCTTATGATCTTTATTTTGCTGGTAAGAATAAAGACACAGGTTAAATTCTAGTGCTTTGCTATAGTGACTTGATTATGCACTTCCCTGAGTAATGCAGAGTAGGGGTGAGACAGTCCCTTCTAACACTTGCATGATGCAGGCTGCCACGCGTTAAGAGTGTGCATTGTTACTGGAGACCTAGGCTTGAGACTTCCTCTGTGTGGTCCAGGAATTAAATATGCTCTATCTCACTTTTGCATAAGATGATTTGAAATAGCAGAAATATTTAAATCTTTTAATACTCACTCTTCTGTATTTTCATTTCCAAGCCATTCATTTAGCTTCTTTTGCCGAACACCTTTTTGAGTCAGCCACCTGGACAATAATTGCAAATAAAATTAATTGTTAGCCACAGAATTTGTATTAAAAACCTTAAAAAAATTTTTGTTAATTCATAATGATACTCACATCAAGTACTGATCTCTTGTCTTCCTCAGCTGTATGAGGTCTGGCTTAATGCTGTTCATACGCTTGTCTATCTCTCTATATTCAGCTGCTTGCTTCTTTAAATCCTCTTCTAATCTACGCCTGCTGTCCACAATTTCACTTATTCGAGATTTCAGTTTTTCATAGTTGTGCATAATTCTGAATGGAATAAAGTGATAGGTTACACTCTGATGATGTCTGATTCATAACTTTATAATCTGTTATTTAGTGGTGTAGACACTTAGGAGAAAAGATTACTTCTCTAGATGTAGCTATACATTTTGCAAGTTCACATTGTCCCCATTTGAGGCTTGCTTTGCTTACAACTGAACAACATTAAACTTGCCTTCTTGCTTTAGTTTCAGGCATTGTTCCCTTCTTCAAAATCATACAATTTGAAATTCAAATACATACACTGACCTTTGTATTTCTTTTTCATTTCCTTCCCGTTTAAATTTTTCAATGTATTCCTTACTGTATCTTTCTTGTGTCTGGCACTGCTCTTCAAATATTTTTATTGTTTCATTAAATGCTTCAATAGCTGTTCTTTTCATTTGAATTTCCTGAAAATAAAATAATTATTATTACAATTGCTATCAGACAGAGGGGATGATTTATTGGCTTGTATCACATAAACACTTCAGCATATTGTAAGAGAAGACTTCAATATTCCTTTACCAGAACACATTGTCTGCAGAGCCTTATAACAGAGAGAACAGGCTTGTGCAAGAGGCTTCCATGATGAGGCTTTCCATGATGAGCTTTTCCAAGAAAGAAAAACAGCTAGACAAAGAGCTATCTACAATCTTGATTTTTGTATAAGTAAGTTTTATTTGTGATTATTAGGCTCTTATGGCAATGCACTTTGCCCTTCATAGCAACTAATGTCCTTAGAGGCACATCTGGCTTTCTGAAATAAAAGTGTAAGATATTGGCCTGGACAGGTTCAAGACATCATCCAGTTCATCCCTCTGTCTCTACAAATGTAGTTGATAGCTAAGTCTTTTAAGTCAGTACTTCAAGTTGCCTTCACTTCTCCACCTTTCTTCAATTATTTTTAGGTGTATTTCCTGCACACTTTAAGAAGCAGTCTTGATTCTGGGTCTGTAAAACAGCACTACTTCACTGGCACTTCAAGACTTAGCCAATAATTGATTAAGTTGAAAGAAGGATTGAGGCAGCTTTGCATCCTGCACTGTATCTACACACGTCATCTCTCTACCCTGCATAGATCAAACCAGACCCTTCGAAAACTAGTAATAAAATACAGTAATTCCCTGGGAATGTGTCTTTAAAACTGCAGCTCAGCTTGATGAGGTCAGTATGCAAGGTGTTGGTAAATCAAGATAGTTCTGTGCTTGTTCTGGATGGAGGTGTCAGACTTGGGCACAGGGTGCGTTAGGTTACAGGTGGTGACTGTTCAAACATGAGTAAGCAATTCTGCTATACTGAGCAAGCACATCAGATATGTTTCCTCTTTTGGGCAATGGCAGTGGTGACAGAAGGGAGGGAGAGGAGGATGGAGAGAAAGAGCAGTATGAATTTACAATAATATTCTTCTAAATCTATGCAAGTCTTCCACTTTGGTTTCAAATCTAGCTCACCTGAGATGTTCTTGTGTAGTCTTCATAAAGTCTGTCATATTCTCGGCTTTTTTCTTGGAACTGGGTATTATATTCATGTAATTTCTTTCCCACTGCTTCAATGCTGTCCTCCTTTACAACTTGATCCTGGAATGATGAGAGAAGGAAGATACTCCATAAAGAAACAATTATCTTGCACAGATTTTCAGGATAAAACTGCTTAAAAATGCCTAGATAATTACATGGTAAATGTGACTCCTCTTTCATCAATATGGAAATATAATACATATAATACATACAATATAATATGCATAATATGTAAATGAGAAATAAACGACAAAAAGCAGTTTTGCATTGCAAGTGTTCAGCTTTATACTGAAAATAATATATTTCCACATTAATGAGTGGGCTATTTATTAATGTAAGTTTATTTATTAATAATGTATCTGCAGTATTTAAAGTTTCAATTATTTACATGCAACCTGTGGAGTTGGTTTTAAACAAAAATATCAATTTTTATACCCAGTTTATTTTTTCAAATATTAACTGAGCTGAAGTTCTTAATGATAAATGACTCCCCCATATGCAGTAATTTCTCTGTATTTAAGTGAAACACAAGGAAAATAGAGCAAATTACCTGCTGGTACTTAGATACTGGATACAGTAATTTTACATCCAGTTTAGGATTATACTGGGCTAGAGATTCATTCCGGTAGTGATTTATTAGCTCGACCACAGAGTTGAAAGTTAACGGGTCAGAAAAGCCATATTTTCCATCTCGGTGAAATATTTTGATTAATTTGTTATTTCCTCCTTTCCTGCAAATAAAGTTTGTTGATCAGTTAGGCATATTTCAGGTACTATTTCCTAAAGAACACCGTACTTTAAATGCAGCATTGCCTTTTACTGTCAAGTATTACAGACCTAGTGTAACTAATCTTACCTTAGCGTAAGTGTGTAGTCCCCATGCATTTTGGTTGAAGCATCTCGTACCAGAAAGGTACCATCAGCAGTGTCTCGAAGCTTCTCATTTACTTCTTCTCTAAAATGAACGCAAAAGTAACCAATCATTTCAGCTACTTCTAATGCATTTATCCTCTAACTGTGCTCTAAATTATTATATTTTAAAATAAGTGGGTTTTATAAGCCTTTTTGATCTCCATATTAACAAATACAGTTATTTAAAACCTTATTTAACATTGCTGGAGAACAGCTGGGATATAAAAATGGTATATTCCATGTCCTCTCACTGCAGGACAAAATTATATTCATGCAAAGGTCTTTCTACTTGTTCATACAAGTCTGCACAATTGGAGTAGCCAGTGCTGGTTTAATGTACCTATATATAGTACTGTTAAAAATGCTGCTAATATATGGCACTTGTTAATCTGGCTTGTTAACTAGTGTGCCTACAGTTGAGGTTCTGGACAAAAGACAAGAAGAAAATACTTATTTCTTGGTGTTGTCCTTTTATACTAGCATTTTGTACAGCTGTCTTGAACAGAACAATCATTTCACAGACTACATTCTAACTGACTGCCAGTAACTTTTTAGTCATGTTTGGAATAAAACTAACCAAAATATATTTGTGTTGGAAAATATCCTAAATATGGCTCTTAAAACTGTCATTTTTCTGTACTTAAGCATAATACATATGTACAGCATAGCATAGCAAGAACGTAAAAGCCAAACATAAGAAATACATGTCTTGAGCTGATTTACCTTGAGATATCTCCCCAGTACCATTCAGCATCTTGTAATGACATGTTGTTATTCATGCCGTTGTTAGTTACAGTATTAGGTTTTGGTGGCTTAGGAGGCAGTGCTGCAGATGAAAGAGGAAAGACAAAGTTGACTATAAGTTATTGAAAACCTGACCACATATTCCTTGAAACTAGACATTATTACATGAAGAAGAAAAAAAAAAAGAGTAGTTATAAAACAGAGTTTTCCATCTCTAACAGTCTTTAAAAGACATTACAGCAATTGAGATATTTAACTGCGAACAATATAATTCAACAAGAAAGATGTACTGTTTCAAATAAGTATGTTACTCCTGCAATAATATATTTTAAGCAAAATACAACGCTGTAGTCATCTCCTCCCTCTGTGAAGAAAGCATTTGAGAAAAAAAATTCTGAAGTTTGCTTTTACCTTCTTCCACTATCTTCAGGTGAATATAAATAATAAAACATGTGAAATTTATTTTTTTTTTCCTCCTCCTATGTAATAATCTTAGAGGAGTGTTGCTGCTTCTTCACCTAGAAGCTGAGTAATACAAGATGCAAATCCGCAGCAATACTATATTTTAAGAAGAATTGGGTTTTTGTGATCTTCAGCATTCTGTGAGATGATTTGCCAAAAAACCCACTTTAAGAAACCCATCTGTGACCCAGCTATCCCTTGTGTTAATCTTAGTAATGCCAGGACTGATTAAAAAACACATCCCCCTTTTCTCAATGACAAAGCTGCATATGTATACCAGTGGGTGCCAGAGAAGATACTGCAGCACTCCTGACTTAGTAGCAAGGGGGACTACATTGGAATCAGGATTAAAAATCAACCCAGCTCTTTTAGTTCTCTAGTAAGCACATAATTCCTTATGAATGCCCCTGTCCTGTATATTATGACTGGTTACAAAAACTGTATTTCTAAAGTTGCAATTAATATCAAGATAGTATAATATTTTTATCTGACATGAAAAAGATGATGCAATATCAGGTATTCAGTTAATACTGCTAATTTTTAAAACTGTTTTTCCTTAAACAATTCAAAACAATGACTGTAATCACTGTTTCAGGAAACAGAAGTGTTATTACAGCATCTCCTTTTAGTCACAGTGTGGAACAGAGATAGCAAAAATAATCATAATAAAAGAAATACATTTTTTAAATTATATAATAGCAGACCTAGAACTACATCTGTCAGAATAAAATCAAAACAGAAACAGGTCAATTCAGTAAAAATTCAATTAAGTAAGCAGACAGGTATTTCTACAGGTTATGATTCTAATTACTATAACCATGCACTACCACAATTGAATTCTATTTTATGAAAAAAAAAAAAAAGAAAAACTAAAACCCATTTGTATCAATGACAGAGTAAATAAATTCTATGTATCCGCTAAGAATTTTTCAGTAGCTATTGTAAAGACCAAAATGAATTAAGTCTTCCATAATAAGACTGCAGTTTTACCTGGTGGATCCATTTCTATGTAAAACATCAAGTCTGTGCCACAATTTATATCTGTCTTAGGATATTCTATATCCAGTTCTTCCATATTCCAAACAGTATTGTACATTTGTATGAGTTTCACTGAGTAAGCTCAGATACAAGAAAAGAGACAGGCTCTCTTTGTAATGGTGTCTTGGAATTCATTTTAAAACCTACAAGGGGCTGCACTGTAACCTATTACATCATAATCCTCAGCCAATCATGTCAAAATAATGTCACCAGACCACTCCTGTTTCATCATTGTGTTCTACATTATTCTTAAAACAATTTGAGTTTCGGCAAGAATCTACATTTAGCAGAACTGCAATATAAACCTGGTATTACAAACAAAAGGAGAGTGCGGGTTCTCCTCGCCTGCATTCCTGGCTCATTTTCCTGACTTTGCAGCATGGTACAGTCCAATCCTGGCAGGATGACAAAAGGCTGATACGCTGCAGCACGTAGCTCTTACACACACACGCACACAACACATGCACACTCTCACACAGGGCACCTCCCTTTAGAAGTAGGTCGGTCACATCTCAGTTGCATTCTCCCACTGGAATGCCTGAAGTTTACCATTCAAAAAGCTGTAAAAGGCTTCTGGACCTACTGTATATATTAAAGATGCAGAAGGGAAAAGAGTGTGTGTGCACATGCACGTGTGTGTATCCATTACACACCCATTTCATATATACATACACAAACAGACATATATCATCTCCACATAATGAAATATGAATTATGTTTTTAAACTGTGCAGATTTCTACTATTTTAATGGACATACATCTGATATACTTGATATGATTATATAAAATGTGCTTACTGCAGAGATGTCTTCCCCTCCTTATCATTTTACAATAAAATACAATTCAAATTGAACTACATTAAATCATTTCGAAATCTAAAACCCAAGTATTGTAATCTTGCATTCAGCAGACTTGCCTAAACCATGGAAGAAAGTTAAAACTGAGCACTATCTTGAAAAGTCGTTTTGCTAAACATAAAAAGCCGGTCAGGATACAAGATTTAGTCTTTTTTTTCTACCCTGTTCTCATTGAGATATTTATCAAGTTAATTGTTTCTGAAAGCAAGAGTCTCTTGTCAGTGTCTCCTTCCTCACTTGACTTTATGTCATCAGTACGCTCCTGCCATTTAGAAATATTCCTTCTTAATTCTCTTGCATCACTGACTGTAACTCTCTCAGACCACTTTGAAGAAAAATGCAGAGAATAGACTATTAATTCCAGAGCAGAATGCTATGTAAAGCAATGTGAATGTTTTATACTTGCTCTAGTCTACGAGGGCAGAAAACCAGATACCAAAAATAACCACAACAAAGAGTAGCTGTAGCAACTATCTGTGCCTACATCATAAAAAATCCTGGTGTGGCTGAAATGTGCTCTATCGCACAAATACTCATTAAAAAAATTAACACAATTTAAATTCTTCACAAATATTCCACACATATCCACACATATCTACCCCCACTCTGTGCCCCTCAGCAGCTTACCCCTTTTAGACAAGCATTAACATAGAAGAACATGTCTGGAGCACCACCATTCCAAAAAAAAAAAAAAAAAAAGGAATGCTAGCTTGCTTTATACATTAACAAGCTTACATTCATTCTGAAGTTCTCTCCCCTCTCTGTTGAGGTAAACATGCTCCAAAGATTCCTTCCATTTCCAAAATGAAACAGGATACTTAAAATCATCCCAGACACAAGTCCAAACGCTGAACTTGAAAGTTTAGCCCACCTGCTACCCAAACAGTTGAGTTGCCAAGGTAATTATTTAAATCAGGTTATAAAGATTTCCTACAAAGACTACACTGCTGAATTTAGGTGTCATGCGGGATCACTAAGCTCTTTTATTCCATTGAATAAAGGCTTTCAGGAGAAATACTTCTCCAGCGTTTCACCGGTGGACAAATTCTGGACTAACCACACTTGTAAAATCAGGTTAGTGCTCAGCTCAGTCTAGCCTAGCTTGCAGGCAAGAAAAGACAGGAGGTAGACAGGTGATTTCCCATTCCCTGTATAACCTGGAGAGGTATTGAGGTACTTGACTTTCATTCACGTATCTTAAGATCATGAAAGCTCTACCTGGCAATCAATTACAGTAAAATACTTGCACAAGGTGATGAAGAAAACACAAACAGAAATTCAAAATCACTTACTTTGTACATTGTGCATTGCAAATGTTCACCCTTGTAACACAGGCTGAAAATACACTCCAATAACCTGAAAAATTAATTGGTTTCCTCTTATAAAAATCTTGCTTCCAAAAAATCTCCAAAACCTCCTTTTACTAGGAAGCTTCTCTGAAGCAACGAAGAAAAAAAAATGCTGAAATAGAGATTGCTCTGCCTTCCAACCGATGTTCCATAAAAATCCCTAAAAAAGCTGTAACATGCAGTGAGAAAATCCAAGCCTTTTCTCTCTTCTTAACTGCTTAAAGCGCTGTGCTGTGGTATCCACTTACTCTGGTTCATCATTAAAAAGTGAACCTGACTTTAGTACTGTTAAAAAAAAACAAAAAAAACTCAACAAAAAAAAAACCAACCACCACCCTCAGTAGCTTGCACGTCTCTCTCAGATAAAGATCTCAGTTTCATGATTAACTTGGGCAGGTTCAAATATTTGCTGAGCCAGGGATTTCAGGTGGGGGAGGGAAAGCCAGATTCAAAGTAAAAGTTGTCATCAGCTAACAAGTGGCCAATGCAGGGCTAACTTTCTCATTTTAGCTAAGTAAATGAGAAGGCCATTGTAAGAGGCCTTAAAATAGACTCTGTCACTGGCTGCTGAGGGCAGTATTAAAGTTGAGAAAACACCATGAGCAGACAAATACAGGAAGTGGCTAACTGACTTACTGCAGAAAAAAAAAAAATAGAATCAAAATCTTCCTTGAAAAGAGCTGCATCTCTCAGAGCAGCCCTGTGCAAGCAAAACAGCTTGCTTGCAAGCACAGCTTCACCTCCTACACACTCATGCTGGATCACAAACACAGGTGCTGCTTGAAGACCCTTAGCATAATGCTGTGAGGCATTTTATCCATTTCCTATGAACTGAAAATACTAGAAAAAACACCTATCCGTATCCATGGTATTTTCCAGCACATCTGGGTTGTTCACTTCTTGGGCAGCTGCGGGGAAAAGGGACTGTTCAGAGAGTTTTGGCCAAATATATTTTCCTTGCCTTAGTGTTTGGTGGAACAGAGCAGCAACTGAAGAACATGCTCCCCTTCGCCTACAGAGGTCAATTTCTATGCCAGCTATACTTTTACATGGAAATAAATTCAAAGTGAAAGGAAGAGCAGACAACACAACTTAAGTCAAAGAAAGAAATGGATTAATATTTTCCTCCCACTTGTTGGAAACAGCAAGAACTCCTAGTAGCTGTGTCCCTTGAGATGAGCTTTGTGCTCCTTATGGCAATCAAATGGCATTAAAAAGTTTTCACCTTCCAAACACTTCACCTACCAAAATCCTCCTATGCTACAAAATACCAAACCCCTTCTACCTCATAATGAAATCCCAACTATCTGCAGTACATTTTTGATGTTTTACAGTTGATTGATTAGCTTTACCTATAACAATGCCTTGCTTTTCTAGTTTTAGCCTTTCGCTACTTGAACAATTGTTGAGTTCTATGTATAGTTCAAACCAGCACAGTCATAAAGGTATAGCCTACTTCCAATGGAGATGGCAACCTGTGTTCCTGAACTAGTGCAACTTCTCACAGTAATTGATACGCCTCTTATTTACTGTTAAAATTACAGAAGGAGTTGATAACACTTCTTGGTTTATAAGGCCACAATACAGAAGCATATTCCCAAAGGAGAAAAGAGAACCCAAACCTGGTTCACTGAATTGTTTATCATTTTAAAAAGCACAGGTACCCACACAGAGATAAAAGATAAGGACTTGTTCATAAGTCCTTTTTTTTTTGTGATTCTTGTACCTTGTGCAGAAATTAGTTCCTAATCATCCTGCAGAAGGGAATCAAGAATTGTCTTGCCAAAAAAAGATATGAGGATGCATCTATCTGCATTTTCACACAATTGCCCGATCGTAACCTTTATTTAAATTTAAATTTCAAAAACTTGAGTGGTGCACATTGAACCTACGGATTTGCATTTCCAGAAAGTCAGAAGCCTACAATTTTTTTTGCAGTCATACTCACAGCGTTCTTCTATCTAGGAAGCATTTTTTTTTCCCCCAAAAAAGTGATGTATGAAGCAGGAAGAGAACGGATCAGGGGCGACAGGCTTGCATGTGCATGTTACACATACATACAAATACACACACACGTATTAATCTGTAAAAAATTCTAATAACCTCGTACATGTTTTTTTGGTTTTAGCAAATACTCCCAAATAGCTATCGAGAAACAAAGCATAGACTAGTGCCAAAACTGAACCAAGACCAGAGCATTCCCAGGCTCAGCGGCTGACAAGCGCCTTGCTCCCCGCTACCCGGGCCGCGGCCGGGCTCCATCCGCTGCGGAGGGGAGCCCTCTGCCGGCGCCAGCGGGGAGCGCAGCACCCTCCCCTGCGGCAGCAGCTCTGCCCGGACAGACTGCCTTCTGCACCCCCGAGACAGACTGCCTTCTGCACCCCCCGGACAGACTGCCTTCTGCACCCCCCAACCACGCTCCCTGCTGCCGACAGCCCAGCCAAGCCCGTGACATGATACAGAAAACTCCTGATGAGGTACTGCATTCCTACATATTTGTTTGTGTCCCCAGAACATTACCAACAGGACTGTGGGATAAGCCTGACCGCTGCAGCAGTCCCAGGGAGCTTGGTGTCCGATTCCAAGAGGAACAGGATTAGCCTTTACATTCCCGTGCTCTCGCTGTTATGCTACCATGCTTGCTAATATTTAGTGCAACTAAAAGCAGAGCCTCTGCATCATGGCCATACGGCCAGGTCTCTCACCTTGTCACCAGCAAGCCAGCAGTTCCATGTAAGGCAGACTCATTATCTCCCTCGTTCTTAGCTACAACCCTGTAAGCAGTAAAATCTATCTCTTCATGCTTAAAACTGCAATATTTCACAGCCCGAGACATTATTTACAATATTATT